CCTTCTATTCTTAAGACTAGAAGATGCTTCGTCCATAAGCCAAGAATCCAATAATTATACAGTGGTTGGAAAATTAAGGTAATGATTTTTCAATTTAGAAATCTAATTTTTAAATCATTTTCATTTTAAAACACCATAGGAGTGCAAGAAATTATCTCCCAATCCAAAAAACAAAAACTTTTAAATCAATTTTAAAATACAAAATTAAACTAAAAAGAAGATTTCATCAAACCACCTATAGATTGATTGTTTTTTTCATTTTGTCGTCATTTAAAAACTTCCTTTTATATATATATATATATATATAGAAATAACGGAGCACCCACTCTCTTTCTATCAGAAACTCTGTGATCTTAGATTCGAGTTTTTGGTTGCTCATATGATGGCCACTGAAGGTTTACATGGTCGTTAACTTCAGGGCCCGTGGGATTAGTCGTGGTGCACACAAACTGACCCGAACACCCACCTTAATCTAAAAAAAAAAAATACTTTTCTGTCTGCAATATGCTCTCTCTAGACAAATCAATTTGGCTCTTGTGTGGCATAGACTTGACAAACAAAGAAGTTTTCTGGGCAATTTCTAGAAATTAGCATTCAAAATCAAAATTTGGGGTTTTGTTAGGAATTCATGAAGTTGTTATAGTCAATCAAAAAATCCCACTCGCAAGCATTGTTGTTGTTGTCGCTCGTCATGTTGTTTCTACTCCAAACCCTGAAAAAAAGAACCAGAAAGTTCAGTTCCACAGCAATTGCTGGATCAAAAACAAGAAACCCATTCCCAAACTGTGACTTCTTGCGTGCATTCATCGTAAGGGTCTTCAAAGTTCAAACTTCAAGTTAAAATTATAATCAAGGTGGAGATAATTTAATTTTTCCCAGTGTATCAATAGATTTAGCATGCTGTACCCCTGCTTACAGACTTGGAGACCTGCTTCAGCCCAATCAAGCTCTGTGGTGCTAATGACCGGAATAAGTGCTTCTTCTTTTGTGCTTTTGGCGTTCTATGATGCAGTTCATTCAAAACAAAACATTTCAACAATTTCTGATAGCTTACTCGGACTTTAACAGCATATGATGGAGGACCGGAAAACACAACAAAAAAGAAAAGGTTTTTCTTCTGCCCGTCGCATCCGTCCAGATCTCATGTTAAAAGTTCGTGGGGTTTCAAATAACAAGGAAATGCCAGCAGCTGTTGTGTCTCACAAAGAAGATGGCCTTTCCCATCTCGTTGCAGAGGAAAAAAATGAGCAGAAGTCAAATGAAATAAAGCCTGGATATACTGTACACAACGTGCTTGGTAAAAGTCCAGCACAAAAATGGCAATCAAATAATTATGTTAATTTTATAATTTTAATATTCTAATGGTTATTTAGTCATAAGATAAAATAAAATATATTGGTAATTTAAAAATAGTTTGATATTTTTTTTAATGCATCACAATAAAAATCTAAGGTGTTATAAATATATAAACATGATGATGTAAAATATAATTTTTCAAACAACAAAGTCAAAACAATCATATTATAGGAGGCGGCTTGATGTAATTTTAGTTTTATCAACTAAACTTTTCTTAGCTCCAAGCAATATAAAATTGTAAGAACATCTCAATTACACTCCTCTCTTCTTCTTGTTAGGAGATCATTGTTATGAAGTTTGACCATTTTTGTTAAAAAAATCAAACCAATAAATCACTTTTTCTCTTTTGTTTTTTTTTTCTTGGCGAATCTCTCAAATGTAATTGGGAAGAAAATAAAGTTTTGGATTAAAATATAAAAACTTTATATATATATATATATATATATATATATATAGATTAAAAAAAAAGAATTAAGGCACTAAAGATGCAAAAAAAGGCCTCATTGTTTTTAGCATGGTAGTTAAATAAGCAGTGCAAAGAAAAATTCAAGTGTCAAATGTAGCGGTCCTCTTGAGTTTTAATTTTTTTAAGTAGGTCTTTAGTTATGAGGTTAAAGATATATCAATTACTTAAAAGAGTTTAGTTTATGTTTGGGAATGTGATTGTGATTGTTTTTTAAAAAAAAATTATGTTGAATTGTATTAAAATAGTTTTTTTTATTTTTTAAAAATTATTTTTGAGATTAATCCATCAAAATGATCCAAAATATATTAAAAAATTAATTTTTAACAAAAAAATTAAATTTTTATAGCTGTGTTTCCAAACAATGTTGTGTAGCTCAAGATTGAGAAACTTATCTTTTTATTTTTTTGTCCTTTTAGGATTTTTCTATTCTAGTAACTAAAGTGTTTTTCTTTTCAAATTCATTATTTTAGGTTGCCTTTGGTTGAAATTAAGTTTAATAATTTGTTTCTATTTTTTTTTTTGGAGTTATTGTTGATGCGGATCAGCCTAACACCAAGCATAATCATGCCAACAACCCATTGGAGGTGCCAATTGGGCCAATCACAAGAGCTAGGGCTAAGAAGCTTAAAGAAGCATTGAATGGGCTTGTTCAGAATATATGGAACAAAATGGACCTAGAGAGGCTTGGAACATTTAAGGAGCATGAAGGACAGCCTTTAATTCATTTAGTTCAGGTCCAAGAAGAGCCCAATTCATGTGGAACAAGGGGTTGATGTGTCCGGCCCAATACCAGCCTTGTTAGGCTTGTCTTTTCTAATACTACAAGGATAAAGAGTCAGCAATTTATTCTCCTAACTAAGTAAGGAAGTTGGCCAAATCTTATTCCTAAAGAGGGGAGGACTATTTAATGCTTTTCCTCACTTAGGAAGGAAAGTAATTAAATCAGCAACAAAGGAGGAAATTTGTTTTCTTATTTGTCCAAGTTAAACAAGGAATTTCAAGCTAATTAAGGACATCAAAGGGGGCAGCGGAAGGGGCAGTACAAATCAGATTTTTCCAATTTTTGTTTAGGACTGCTTAAGGGTGACAAATCTGATTCTAGCTTATTTAGGATGGTATTTTCGGATTTTTAGTATTTTTAGTATTTTCTTCTTAGTTTTTGGGTTATTATTACTTATTTGGGTCAATTGTAAGTGGGCTACATATAAGTCCACCTAAGGGAGGTCCATTAGGGTTTCTTTAAGTTCAAATTCAGTATAAATAAAGGCATAACCCAAACATGTAAAGGTTACGCAATTTTCAGATTAATAAAACTTCTTTGCTGCACTTATTGTGTGTTGGTGGGATAATCTCCCTTCCTTGGTTCTCTAAAGAACTGAAAACGACTTATCAAAGAACAACTGTCTTCGTGGCGTCATCCTTATACTTCTCGTTCGCGAATCAATATTCGTTGGGTGGGGGTTTCTGTTTTCAATAGTGCTGGTACCTAGGTACAAGTTATCTTTGTGTCACACTCCTATCAAACCTGATTTACTTGGTTTTCCGGGAATTGGCATCTTTGCGTGTGGGTTGCGTGACCATGTGATCACGAGGTTCGCATCAATTGTGGTGTAAAAACACATTATTAATGTTTAATTTTGAAAAAATAAAAAAATAAAAAATTGATGTATAAAAATAAAATCCAAGGATTGAATTTGACAACAAGCAAACAAAGCAGGATTTTCTTTTCATTATTGTTGGACGCTTGCCTTTTCTAAGAATTTAGCCTTAATATTTTTTTTCTATCCTTTTAATTTAAACAATCTAAATTTTATTTTAGTCGTATTACAATCATTGGGTATATAAAAAAAATTACTGAAAAAAAAATATTTATTAATTTTTAATATTTCAACAATAAAAAAAATTATTCTTAGATCAAGATTTCAATCAATTATATGAGTTTTATTGAGATGTTTATTTTTTATTTTACTGAAAAAAATAAATAGGATTTGAGAGATTTTTTATGTTTGATTTTGTTTTTTAAGATAAATTTAGGGTGTTTTGAGTTTATATATTATTGATATTATAATGATATTTATTATATATTTTTAAGTAAAATATAAATTTTTTTAATGAAAAAATCACAACATGATTTTACAATCACCTTTCTGTGATTGAAAATTGAGGATGATATATGTTGAAAAATAATTTTTTTAATTAAAAAATCACAGCTTGATTTTTCATTATCTCTCTTATGGTTGAAAATTAAGCAGGCATATGACGCATTCTTTACCTTTATTTAAAAATAAAAAAAGGCTTGGGGCGCCCGTGTTGCCTTTTCTTTTAATAGGCAAAGTTTGCTAGCCACCCAAGCAGAGGCGACTACCTCCTTTTTTTAACTTTTATCCTCTCATTTTTCTTCGGTTTTAATTTATATTTATTAAAAGAGATTGGTTAAATATATGTGTGGTATGCCGGAACTAGCAAGTATTTATTTTTAATTAAAATAAATAAATTAAAATGTATTTTTAATATTTTTTAATAAATATATTTTTATTTTTCTTTGGTTTTCCGTAATATTATAAGATTTTCTTCTAATATTAGCAAACATTTTTTTATGTAAGCCAATACAATTTTTTTTCTTGAATTCTATTAGGCCACTTTTCTATGATAATTTATTTATTTATTTATTTAATATTATTATTATTTAATTAAAAAATTTATTTCATAAAAAAATTTATTGAACCAAAATAAAATCATAGCTTGCGATGTGAAATTAAATATCTCAGTGAACATCCATTTTTTAACCTTTTAGTTTAGTCTTTACTTAAAAACTTTTCTGTTTAGTTTTTAGTAAATATTAACAACTTTTTTATATTTGTTAAAACATTCAATTCTTAATTTATTTAATTAAATATAAGCATTATTTTTTATTTATTAAAAAACATGTTGAAAATACTTAACCTTTCTTGTGTTAAAAAACTTTTGATCCCACCACCATGAAGGTATCAGTAAACTAATGAACGAAATGGCCATGAACATGATTAATTCTAATGAAGTGTGATAGCAACATACAAGTCTTTTCTTTTAGGTGAGCATGGCTACATGAGTTGAACAATTTCACTATCAAATGCCGAATGCTTTCTTTCTCTTCTGCATTCTTCAATGATGGATTCAGGAATCCAAAGATTAAAACTTGCACGTCAATTATATACGAATATGCTTTTTCATTGTGATACACCCCAGAAATCAGAACAATTTGTCAAGAAGTCATAAAATGACTGAAGGGATTTGTGATCACTCATTGACCAAAAATAGCTTCTGGTCATGACTGATCATGTTCACGTCAAGGATTTTGCCACCGTTTTCAGATAAAAGGTAACCACCTGAAGATTTTAATTGCTCCATAGCTGCCTTGACAAGTTCTTCAATGGTTTGAGGAACCCACAGGACGACTCCCTCTCTTCTTTTCTCTTTTGGGTCCCATGGATGGAATGGAAACACTGTGCATTTCATTCTTTGCATATCACCTGTGACTGGTAATTAATGAAAAAGTTTTTTGAGACTGTGCATTAATCTAGCAGATAAAACACTTCAAGCATAACAACATCAGAAGTCACAATGAATGAAAGCATGTATGATTTACCATAGTTAATGCAGATGGTCGACATCTTGCCTTCCACTAATGATGAGAAAGATGCCCATTTAAAAAAAACTTTAACCAAGAAAAGGGACACGCTACTAACCTATTTGAGAAGCTCTTGCAATCTCAAGCAATTTAATCAAATCCTTATTTCCACCAATACGAGCTTCATCAAGTGGAGTGTTTCCCCATCTATAAACAGGAAATAGCCCGTAGGATATATGAGGGAAATCACATGATCAAAATCCAGATTCAAGAGAAGTAAAATATTGTGATTTAGGACTGGGAACAGATTTAAACTTTTCACCATGCTTCTCATCCAACAAAGGTAGGATGCATCTCATGATCAATTGAAAGTCCTCATGCCTTGCCATTATTCTTTTCCTTAGTGATCTCTATATTTGAAGAGGGAAATATAGTCCATGCGACCATAGTGAATATGGAAAAGTCTTATAGGAAATGCCTAAAGCATAATTTACCAAAACATATATTTGTACAAAACTTTTCATGTAAAGATATCAAGAAGTGAATTATTCCAAAACCTGAGTTTCGAGTGAGAAATGTGCCCTAACTAGCTCATATGCAATGCATCAAGTGGTAGCATAAATTAGCCTCGAGTGACTGGCCAAACTGGCCTTCAATTCAGGTCATACCTGTCCTTTGGAAGAACGCTGGCCCCTGCTTCTAGAAGTAAACTTGCGATTGAATGTAAGTCTTCCGAGGCAGCAATGTGCAAAGGTGTTCGATAATCAAAGTTTTTTGCATTTGGATTGATTCCATTGGCCAGAACCCTTTTCAAGAGATTCAAATCCCTCTTTGCAACAGTTGTACAGAGAAAACCACCAGCATCATCAATTGCCAGTGATGCCCCTGCTTTAACAAGTAAAGAAGCTACTTCATCATGCCCACCCTTGACGGCTTCTAGCAATGGTGTGTTCCCAAATTTATCTGATAGACAGGGTTAAACAAAAACGTGTTGTTAGATTGCTTTAGAACTTGAAGATTGGATTAGAGAATATGTACATAATTCTGGAGGATATATACAGCAATAAACAATGTAGAACACTTACCTGAAATGTTGACGTCCACTCCATGTTCAATAAGCAGTAGAGATATATCTCCATCTCCTTTAGAAGCAGCAACATGCTGTTGAAAGAAAAACAATATTATATTTTCTATACAAGAAACAGTTTCACACTATCTTGCAAGAAAGAAAATGTAAGTTAAAATCAATATTTGAGAAAAACCGCTTACAAATTTAGCTCTAGATTTTTTACTTAATAATATTATAATAATGCAACGGTTGAAGTTCAGTACTCTTCTTTTTTGAAAGTCAAAGTCCCCAGATAACAATATGTTACAAGGAAAAGGATATTTGACTAATTAATCTGATAAAAATCAAAGGTGTCTAACATCAGACAATAGTATCTTAAGACTGGCTTGTCGGTCCATCCTTCAGAAATCATACCAGAGGTGATCTTCCGTCATAATCAGCCTTGTTAGGATCTGCTCCAGCTTCAATCAACCGTTTCAGTCGATAATAATCCCCATCAAAAGCAGCACAATTCAACCTCATAGCCAGCTCCGATTCAGACTTTTCAATGTAAAGGGTAACATCTGACTCCAATAATTCATTCCGTAGATTGGCATCTTTTCCCTGGCAGTTGAATGAATTGACATAAATAAGTCCACTACCTCTTCTAGCTCATAATATCTAGCTAGAAGAAGTATGATTTCAAAGGCTTCATTTTTGTTTTACAGCAAATGGAGAACATAATTATACCGCCAAGAACATAAAATTTAGGCAACAACAAAGGACAAATGTTTGATGCAGTGAAGGTCTAAAGGAACCAGGAGAAAGATAAGAAACAATGATATCAAAGCAAACTCACCTCAAGGAGATTGTTCAAGATAATTCGCCCATCAGAGAAGTATATCTCAAGGATCTCTGTAAAAGATTGCTTATCAAGTCGTAATACCCTGCATAGTTCCCGAACTCGTATTGTATAAGGCTGAGGAGTGTTGCAAAGAAAAGAAACTTCCCCAAATGAGCTATAGGTTTGCAGATGCTTGATAAACTCTTCTGCTTGATCATTTTCACCTCTTCCGAATTCCTCCTGTAGATAACATTGTCATGCCTATACGCCGACATCATAAACTAAAAAGATTTACTGATAGTCCTTTAAACACACTCAGAGACAGGTGTGCGCATGCACACACACTCGTATCATCAAACAGAGCAAATTCTTATTCAGAGGTCTACATGACTTGATATGTCAAGCATATAGGTTGCATTGTAATATAGCTAGTTTTCTTTACATCTGAAAGATAGTTGCAGCATGATTACAACTTTAAATATTTGACTAAAGTTGCTTTACATTAAAATTGTACTTTTCCATAACCTTGTATCTGTTAAAATACATTTGATAGTATGCATGATATGTTCCATCATCCAGAATAAAAATAATGTAGGAGTATTAATTGGATAAACACAAATCAACATTGATCTCTCTGTTATTGAAAGCGTGTGTGAATGCACATGCTCATTTGAGAGATTCGCTCAGCCAAATTTTAGATTAAGCTTTGTTGACCACGTTGGTGCAATCAAATTCACAGCTAAAGGTACTGTAGACAGTCATAAGAGCCGATAAAGTTTGTTTTGTTCTATTTGGATATAGGAAGACAAAGATCAATCCCAAACGAAGCCAGGTAAATGGTTCATATCATAACACAGCAGCAACTTAATATATACAGAAACATATGCTACACTTGTGATGCTTTGGAATATGCAATTGAAGAAGAAAGATAGGTCAAAGATGAAATGTTACCAATTCACCGTGGCAGACAACATAAAGCTGATCTGATACTTGTCCCTGCTCTATAATCACTTCTCCAGGAAGGAAAAACTCTTCATGGACTCGAATTGCCTGGTAAACATGACAAATGAATACAACTCTTCCCACAATTACAATGAATCCATGCTTTAATGTGATAGAATGAAATCCATTCATGGATTCAAAAGACTTTAATTTAATGAAAAAGCTTACTATCTGCTTAATGAATTCCAAAGAGCAACCCTTGAAAAGAGAAACTTCTTTAATATATGGTTCATATAATTTCTGTGAGATCTGCAAAAAAGAAACAACGTGTTGTAGAACACATGATTGAGAATCACCATATATCACTGATTCCTGAAGCAGGAAGTCTTATCTAACACAAGAATAAAGCATCTGATTTACCAACTAGGAAAGGAAAAAAAATTACTCGAGATCGGTAGATGCAGTGCGTCAATCCAACTACCTAGAAGGCTACTGTGATAGACCAATATAGAACACCAACACATTAAACAAGATAACAAAAATTCAGGTACCAGAGAAAGGAACAGATGATGGGAAGGTCTATTCCATATACCTCTTGCTCCTTTTGCCATTAGAGTTAAAATAATACATAGGAATCTGACTTATATGATGTATATAATTCGTGTAGAGAGAGCACGTGCAGGGTTGATGTAGGTAGATATAAATTTTGACATGCCAAATAAGTTGCAACAGATATCAGCATGGATTCTTTCTTCTGGATTTGGTGTAATGTTGCACCAAACTAATTTGCAGGATAGGAAGAAGTTGATACAATTTCAAGCTCAACATCAACAATATTCTATCTGCTTAAAAATTGAAGCCATTAACTATTATCAATACCTTTGTCCGAATAGAAGCTGGGATTTCCTGCAGAACAGATGCTTCTGTGTAGCTGCTTCTGTGTAGCTGCGATCGTATTGTAATCTCAGATGGCGTTTGATCTCATTGCTTATGCCTTTCCCAAGATTATTTCTATTCATGTATTTGAGAAGGTCAGTCATTCTATCCCTAAACTTTTCTGTCTTTGATCCTTTTACAATTAATGCAGTCATGTTACCAAGCAGATAAGCACCAAGAATCATGTCAAAAGATACATAAACCATGACAAATATCATTTCTCTGACATTTACTGCATGTATCTCTCCATAACCTGCAGAAGAAAGCATTTCATCATCACGCATTATACAGCAACTCATGTTAAGAATAACGCACCCTCAAATAACAGGGAGAGTCACATTAAGAAAAGCATAAAATCAATGACAACGAATTAAAGAAACGACATGTTTTTAGCAAAAATTGAAAAATATAGCGCAGAATAAATTCGACAATGAGCAAATCATTTATTGATGTAACATGACGTCTTGCAATGGAAAAGCCTAGCCTCGATATACAAATCCAATATAATCTGTGTTCAACAATGCCACGCAGTATATCAGCTTGCCTAACATATCTGGTGACTAAATCAATTTAACTAATCTCTGCCTAAAACTTTCTAGCATTCAGTAGGAACTTTCACCTTCCCCATAAGTATGAGCATCCGCAAAAGGGGAGAAAAAGATCATGCAGATATCAAGATCACAAATTCAAAGCAGATGGATTCCAGACAACTGCTTCACCTAAAGTGAAAATTACATGCTGAGGCTGATGGATCAGAATTCATGACCATGGAAGGTATAGGAAATCATGAAGAAAAAGAAACAAGTTGTATTCAAAATATATCAGAAGCTGGTTCCTGTATTTGCGGGAAGATAATTGATCCTCTAAACATTTGCATTTTTAGTAATGACATGAATGACTTAATGTAAGTGTGGATTTGTCTAGCAATGATTCAGCATCAATATTTCTCAAGATCTCAGTCACACAGTTTCCTGAAGAGCAATCACTGTTTGCCACTCATCTCGACTTCTATCAAACACCAAACTATTAAACTTAAACATATGAAAAAAGTTTACCTACAGTTGCCATAGTAACAATGGCAAAGTAAAGTGATGTTACGTATCGCTTCCAAAGATCAATCTCCCTGAAGTTTGTATAGTGATAGTCACCCATCTGCAAGCTTCCTATCCATGTGTAACCTTCCTGGGAGGGAGGCATAGTAGTAGCAAGATAGTAAAAAATGCAGGCTGCTGTATGTGTACAATAGAGTTCAACAACAAGAAGTTTCACAATTCTTGTAAAAAGGTAATTGATCCTGATATCTTTCTCCAACCTCTCAAAAAATTCCGACACTCTTTTGGCCCGACTTAGCCTAATCCACAACATATATCTCACTGCCTCCTTTCTCCCAGAAACCTGATTAAACCAGATAGTTCCATATCAGGACCCAAAAAGGAGATTAAGCTTGCCAGTTCATACTCAATATGTAAAAAAATTATAAATGAAGCAAAAGTGACGTTAAGAAAATGGATTTAACAGAAACGATCCTTCAAAGTCCTAGAACGATACCTTGAAGATGGCATCCCAAGGCAGACAGCCAAGAAAATCAACCAAGAACCGAGATTTCAAGTACCTAAACAAAACATGTCATAAAAAATATACATAATAACCAATCAAGACATGGCAGAAAACCAAGACCAAGAAAATATGAGATGGGACAAAAGGTACACACCTAATGGCAATGAGCTTGTGACTGGTGACCAAGCGATAAGAGTGAGTTGCACGATAGGCCACAAAGAAATGGACCACAATGTCTATCAAGAAAGCAATCTGACCAGCAATGTCTAGCAAGAAAAGGTTCTCTGGGAGTCCTCTGAAGAAACCAAACTCCAGTGGTGTAAAGAAGGAAGAGTAGACTGCCCATATTAGTATGAAGTGCACCCATACTGTGTACCTCCTGCTTTCACAATCACACACAATAAAATTTGGATTTTAGAAACCCTTTATACACCCACTAGCAGCCAGTCATGGAAAGCCTTGTATTAGCAGCATTCTATGGCAGCAACTCTGAATCATGAATGGATTAAGTGGGGGAGCATGGACTAAATTGTTGGGAGGGAAGTTTGAAACATTACGAGACTTGAGGAATGTTAAAACATATTTTCAAAATTCGGGGGGGCAAGTAACATCTTTTTAAGGGACCTAAATGAAAACATGCCAAAATATCCAACGACTAAAAATGAGACCCTCCATAAAGAATTATCCATTTACTCCATTTACTCTTGTTTGGGAGTGTGCGCTAACAAAGTTTGGCTATATATATATTTGAATTATTTTTGATGTATTAAATTAAAAAATATATTATTTTAATATATTTCTAAAAAACATATAAGGCTCAGTTTCATCAAATTTAGAACGTATAGAGACCAAAACTAGTTTTTCCATTAGAACAGGTAACATTTCCAGATGAAATGGGGGGTAATAAAAACACAATGGTGGCATTGATTCAATCTACAACCTCTAGAGAAAAAACTAGAATTGCCCCAAACCCTAGACTTTTATTTAATCAAAGATTGAAGATTGCTTTTGTAATCTTCAAAGATCCAAATCCACCATATTAACCATTGTATGTACGGCCCAACCTAGAAGATGAGAGGCATAGAACTCAAAGAAAATAGGGTCTTAGTGCCTACCAGCCGTCAGGACGGATAATATAAGCATCAGAAACGGAGGACTGCCCTAAGCTGCTTCCATCTCTGAAAACGATTCCATCTCGAATCGAAGACTCCATTCTGAGCAGCCCATATAGCCTCTTCCATGATGATTTACTTTCCCCTCTAAGTTTATCAACATCCAATTCTTCTTCCTCATCTGATCCATCACCTCCATTACCAACACCACCTCTTATCCTTTCTCTTCCCCGTATCATCATCATCATCTGCAAGAATTTCAACAGAAAAATCGTGGGCTGGCCATAGAATGTGATAAAAATGAAAGAAGACGAGATCTCTGAATGAATGTAAGTACCGGAGTGCAAGTAACCTTCAGTCTTGAAAGAGAAAGAATGCTAATTATCTTTCATGATGAAAACTGAAAGATAACTTTTATATAAATGTGTTTGGTGCCAAAGGAATTTGTTACTGGAAACTTTTGACAATGGAGGGGAGACTTATCCTGTTTTTTTTAAAAAAAAAAACAAAATATATATATATACCCTGAGCTTTCTGTTAGCGTAGATGATAAGAGAGACATTTGTGGTGACAAAGAGAATTGTTCTTGGTAATTAGGGAGCTCATATTAAGAAGCTAACAGTACGAATCAATGGCAGCGAGAACGATAACAACACAAGATTACCCACTTTAATTATGTGCTAGAAAAAATAAATTATTTTTTATTTTAAAAAAATTGATAATTTTTAATTTTTTTTACTTTGAATTAATTTTTTAATGTATTTATTTAAAAAAATCTTAAAAAAATAAAAACATTTATTATTTTAATTATTTTCAAGTAAAAAATATTTTTTTAAATAATGTAATATTAAATATATTCTAAATACATGTTTGAACATAAATATTATTTTGATAAACTTCTAAATACAAATTATTTTAATAATGTGCTTGAAAAAAAAAATATTTTTGTATTTTAAAAATATTTTTGAAAAAAAAACTGTAATTTTTAAATTTTTTTCTTTTTTTACTTTAAATTAATTTTTTTTAAACTGTAATTTTTAAAAAAATTTTCTTTTTTTACTTTAAATTAATTATTTTTAATTTTTTTAATGTATTATTTGAAAGAATCTTAAAAAATAAAAATTATTATTTTAATTATTTTCAAGTAAAAAATATTTTTATAAATAATTATTATTATAATATTAAACAAGTTTTAAATACGTGTTTGAAATTATATATAAATATTATTTTAATAAACTTTTAGAAGTATTTTAAAATATAACTTCCACCTAATTAATTTATTGAATGCATCATTTACCTAATTAATTTTAAAGGGTTACTCTAATAGTTGTGTGTGTGTATCAAGATTTAAATCTTAGTTTGGACGGTTAGAAATAAAAATCTTATAATTTTTTTATTATATCGTGAGGGTTGATTTAATTTCTATGTGTAAGAATTAGCTCACATATAAAAAAAATGATTTATTCTACTAAAGCAAATGAAGAAATTTTATAATGTTAAAGTTGTAACTAAGTAGCATATTATATGTTTGTTAAAAAGGAATTTATTCGTATACATTTATTTAAGAAAGAGTTTTAATTATCTCTTAAGCCAAATTAATAAAATGCACTCATAAGTAAACATCATATTATTGGAAAGTGTGATTATAATTATTTTTAAAATATTTTTTATTTAAAAATATATTAAAATAATAATTTTTTATTTTTTTAAAATTATTTATGATAACAACATGTTACAATAATTTAAAAATATCAAAAAATATTAAAAAATATAAAAACAAACAATGACAATTTTTTCTAAATCATTTTGTTCAGAATTGAAAAAAATATAAAAACAAACAATGACATTTTTTTCTAAATCATTTTGTTCAGAATTGGTGAATTCTATATAATTTCTTTTTAATTTGTATCCAAAATAAAGTTATTTGAGTTTTTTTAATTAAAATAATATTATTATAAAATAAATTTAAAGTGATTTAAGGAATCTTAATCAAAATTTTAGACAAATTATATCCGATCGCAGCCGAACACTATGATATATAAATGTAAAATTAAAGGTTGAGAAAATTTCCACGACCTAAGAATTACCAAGAGAGCCTATTTAAGAATCAATAAAGAAAGATAGAAGCGACACCACTTCAGCTTGGGCATCTCTATAATTCTGATTAATGTTCAACTTTTAACTTTGTGCTTTCTAAGGAAAAAATTAAAAAAAAAAAACTTTAAAGATCTTGAAAAATACATAGTTATTAAATTTAGTTTATTTTATTAACTGTTTGTAAGCGTTATTATAATTGTTTTTTAAAGTATTTTTTATTTATAAATATATTAAAATTATTTTTTATATCAATCCATTAAAATGATCAAAAAATAATAATAAAAATATTAAATTAAAGCAAATAAAAAATAAAAATTTTAAAGTTTTTTAAAAAATATATTTAAAACATAAAAACAAATAAGGATAGTTTTTTCTAAATCATTTTGATCAAGATTGGTGAATTCTATAGAATTTTTTTTTAATTTGTATCCAAAATAAAGTTATTTCAGTTTTTTAATTAAAATAATATTATTTTAGAATAAATTTAAAGTGATTTAAGGAATTTTAATCAGAATTTTAGATAAGATTAGATCTAATTCCATCCATCGAATACTATAATATATAATTATAAAATTAAAAAGTTGAGAAAATTTCCACGACCACTTTAGCTGGGCATCTCTATAATTCTGATTAATGTTCAACTTTTAACTTTGTGCTTTCTAAGGGGAAAAAAAAAAGACTTTAAAGATTATGGAAGAGAAGATGCTGAAAAAAGAAACTAAAAAAAAAAAAACTTTAAAGATTATGGAAGAGAAGATGCTTTGTGTTTCCTAATGTTTTTATTCTTTCAATGAATGGCGACCCCAAAACGATTTGTCAAATGTTCTATTTTTATCTTCTTTTTATTTATTTATTTATTTATTTATTTTATCAAAAGAATAATAGGACGTAAAATAGTGAGAGCAAGTCACCTTTGGTTTTCTCTTTCATTCGTTTGTTGGGTACTCTATCAATCTTAAAAGGTAATAAATTATGAAAATAAAAGTATCCTCGATTGTGTTTGGTACAAAGTTAAAGAACTTGAAAGAGAAATAAATATTAAGAAAATAAAAATTAAATTTGAAATGTTAAGGGTGTGATAAAAATTTGAAGATTTTAGAGCTCAAGTGATCTCCATATAAATTAAATCAATATTTAAAATAAATAAAACTAGAAAAAAATTAAATAATTTTATTATTATTGTAGTCCACAAGCACGACTATACTCTCGGATTAAATTGCTACAACTATATTATATATATAATCATATTTAATTGATTATTTCTTATCAATAATTATAACAAGGGTCATTATCAATAATTATTATAACCCATCAATTGGCTATTAGAATTCCTGACCAATTACTATAATCTTTTTGACAAGAGTCATGGCAAATTATTATAACTCATTATAATTCTTAACAATTATTATAACATGTTGGCAAAAACCATTTTTAATTATTATAATTTATTGGCGGGCCATTAGAACTATTTTTAGTGTCGGCAACTTTATTAACCAGAAATCATTACTTTATTTATAACCCTTTGAAATTCATTATGTAATCATTTACAAATCATTTTAAAACACTTTGTTTATATAAATCAGTTTATAAGACATTTTTATAAAAACTCTATACCATGCATTCACAAACATTACATTTAAATAAATTAATATGAACATAGCAAGTGTTTAATCTTCTTTTTTTAAAATATAATACACAATTAGAAAAAAAAATATTTATTTTGTTTAAAAATAACAGGTTGTGTGAATATTTCCCTCTTGCTTAAACAACTAAATTCTAAAATATTAGCTTAAATAACATATTCACAAACATAAAGTCTCTCCAACATTTAACTATAATAATTTATCGATTACATATTATATATTAAACTCACCGTAACTTCTTCGATAAAATTTGAAATTCCATTCTATATTTTGAATTATAAATTATACTCAATTATATTTTCATCCATATGATTCACCTAGTAATTCTCTCACGGCCCACCTTTAAGATGTAATTTAAGTAATTAAGCATAACATACACAAGAAAAATAGGTCATTTCTTGTCTCTGTTGCTCTCTTTTTACTGTGGAGCAAAAGTTGGAATTAATCGGAGTTTAGCATAATTTCTAGGACTTGATTGAAGATTTGGGCTGTAATTATGTGATTGAGGAGCTGAAATTAGGAGATTGCAATCTAGTTTAATTGCTTGGGATTGCAATAAAAAATCTGAAATTAAACGCTGGATTTCAGGGTTTAATTGGACTAAAAATGAATCAATTAAAAATAACTAGATTGAAATTGAGTTAACTTGGACTGAATTGAGTCACATTGATTCAATCAGATTGATATGTTGAAATCAATGAATCAATTTGGACTAAATTGAATTAAATGGATTGAAATAAGAGTTCGGACAAACATTCTTTATTCTCATTACAGTCCTTATATTTTTAATTTGTTTCAATTGCATTTAATTTGGTTTAAATCACCTTTTTCTTTTCAATTGTATCCCTAATTAAATCAATTTAGACCTGCAAATTCATCCTTGGTTTCTAAAATTAAGTAATTTTGATCAATCTAACTCTCAATTTTGATCTTCTGCTTCAATTACTTCCTTCATTCATTTCTAATTTTGCTATTTATTTCAAAATCATTCTTCAATTTTTTTTTGCTCTTAGACAAATTAAATCAAATCAAGCCATTTTTTTCAACTTCTTCAATTCATACCTTGTTTTTGTCTATGATGATCGATTATCATCGGTCCAACTTCAAACGTTTCAAGTTTGTGAATATTCTAAGATTTTCTCTATTGGTTTCTCAGACAGATTTTGTGACGTCTTTGCTTGAAGTGATGACAAAGGGTGTGAAAAATGCTGAACACTTTGTGCCCCATTCCGTGTACTCTATAATTCTAAACCCATATGATATTTTTTAACAAAGTTTAAATCCAGAACATGAAACCCCAGATGCCACGTTTGGTGGCAACCATCAGTTTCTGATTCTGTAATTACTGAGTTAGGCAAAAGATTCTATACTACGTTAAAAAGAAAGCTTAAGGACTGCCATAATTTTATTAAGAATGAATTCGTTGATATCTTGAATCAATTTCTTGAGAAGATCTGGGAGAAGCTAGTTATCTAGGTCGGTGTTGATTCAATGGATAAAGGGTATTCTTGGGGATTGATTGAGAAGGTGAGATCTTTAAGGTTCGGGCTGTGAAGGGTTTGGTTATGGAAGCGTGAGTTTAGAGATTTGGGATTTGGTTAGGCCTTTAGTTGTTAGTGGGATTGTATTCGAATTTAATCATGAGTCTTTTTGGTGAAAAAGAAATCTGACTTGCTTTGTATTTGCAATAATTGTTAGCAATTGAGAAGGCAAGAGATAAAAATCTCTCA